GATTTTTTCAGGTTTAACGTCATATCTTTTTTATTAAAAGATCCTTTGTATATCATGATGAATTCAAAGTCTTTTAAAGCTCTTTATCACAAGGTGAAGAACAAATTATAGTAAAAATTCTGAAGCATTAAGTTGTGAATTGTAGAAATAAGTTTGTAATCATTTGATTTACTGATGCCCTAAAAAGTTCCGATTTCAACAAATATAATCAAATTTGACTTTCAAAAACCTGTAATTTAACAGACATTTTGTAACCTATATAAAGTAGCCACTTACCATAATGCATAACATTTTGATTTGTTCAATAATTCTCCATATATTGTTGATTTGACATAGTTTTATATCAATTCTACGTATAAATTTATCCTGGTTACCGTAACAACTTGGTATAATTTATGAATCTCATCAAGCCGAAACGGGAAATTTCAAAAGAAACGTATGTGGCCGGGGCTTCTAACTACACAAAAAATTTTAAGAACGTGAGAAGCATATAAAAGGTATATAGTTATACTGAATTCCTTACAATTTATACAAGTCCATTGAATTATAAACCTTATACATATCAATTTATTTATAATGTCTTCATTAACCCCATTAGCCTCATACAACTTGGCCTTATTGCCATTCACCCCAACTCAAGCAATTGAATCAGATTTACCAGTCACTGTTCATTTAACTTTAGCTGCTCTTGATCCAACTGCTGCTATTGATGATGAAGAACAACCATCAACTTTAAGAATCTTGAAGAGTACTGCTTTCAACAGCATTGACTCCGATGATGAAGATGAAGATGATGAAGATTTACCAGAAGACGAAGAAGATGCTGATTTAAACGAAGATGAAGATAAAATTGAAGAAGATGATGATGAAGAAAATGATGACGATGAAGATGATGAAGATGATGAAGATGACTTAGAAGATGATGACGATGATGTTGAAGAATACGTTGTCTGTACATTATCACCAAAAGTTCAATTCCAACAAACTTTAGATTTAACCATCAACCCAGATGAAGAAATCTTCTTCGTTGTTACAGGTTCATACCCAATTCATTTAACTGGTAACTTTGTTGAACATCCATATGACAATGATGAAGATGAATATGACTCAGAAGATGATTCAGATGATGAATACGATTTATCACCAGATGAAGATGAAATCATCGATGGTGAAGATTTCGATATCAATGAATTAGAAGACGCTAGTGATGTTGAAGGTAAAATTGAAGAATTAGTTGAAGAAGAACAATCCAAAAAATTAGAAGCTCCAAAAAAATCTAAGAAAGACAACAAAAAACGTCAAGTTGAAGAAGTTGAAGAAGACGAAGAAGAAGAAAAACCAGCTCCAAAAGAAACTAAAAAACAAAAAAAAGCTAAAAAAGCTGCTGAAGAAGCTGCTGCTAAAGAAGAAAAAAATGTTAAATTCAACAAAGAATTAGAACAAGGTCCAACTGAATCTAAAAAACCAAAAACTCAAACTTTAGCTGGTGGTGTTGTTATTGAAGATCGTGTTATTGGTAAAGGTCCACAAGCTAAGAACGGTAACAGAGTCGGTGTTAGATACATTGGTAAATTACAAAACGGTAGTACTTTTGACAAAAACGTTTCTGGTAAACCATTCTCATTAGTCCTTGGTAGAGGTGAAGTTATTAAAGGTTGGGAAATTGGTTTACAAAACTTGGCTGTTGGTGGTGAAAGAAGAATTATTATTCCACCAAAATTAGCTTACGGTTCTCAAAGTTTACCAGGTATTCCAAAAAACAGTACCTTAATCTTTGATGTCAAACTTGTTACATTAAAATAATCAATTTATAGACTTTCTGTACTCTAATATTAATATTTCTTATACCTTTTGAAAGAGATTGATGTAGATAATAATATATTTTATCGCGAAGATTAGAGAAAAAACGCGAAAACATAACACAAAAATGATCGTTTAAAAAGCATCCAATTTATACGAAAAGAGAATGCTCATCTAACGGTTTCTTGGAGTATATATACGCCTGAGATTCTACTTGATCAACTTTTCATTCACTTTAAATCCAATTGTTTCTCATAGTCTAATTGTTGTGAGTCTAGTCTAAATATACCATCTGTTGACGCGTGATAATTTCGTTTTTTTTTTCCCTTCATTCTCTATATTTTTTTTTCTGGCCATAGGAAAAAAAGTCAAAAGGGAAAAATATTCAAATTGTTAAGCAGAATTCAAATAACTTTATTTGATTGCAATTCAATAGCGCTCTTTCAACAAGAATTCACTCTTTGGGCTCACTACCAAGGCCGTCAAGAACACAGACACACCTACTAGGCAATGACCGCCATTTTGGAGAAACCGCTGAACGGACTCGCTACCGTGTTGGCGTTTATTGGTAAGCTATCAGCTTTACATCCAATCCATACATTAATCGTTACATCTTTATTGGCTTCTATCGCTTATTTGAACATTGTGGAAAACTATGTTGGTGACAGCTTCAATTTCACTGATTCAACTTATACATTGACAAACTATTATCATCCTTCAGGTTCAAAAGATTCTTGGGTTCAAGTTGATGATTTATCTAAAATTTCACAAGATGTTGAACATTATAATATTGTTCCATTTCAATTTAAAAGAGGTGGTGATTCTCAAATTCCTGAAATTGCAAACTCTTATTCAGATGAATCTGATGAACAAGTTCAATTTTTAATCACAAAAGAAAATGAAACTTCAGATTTAGAATTAAATCAATTAGTTTCTGAAGATGGTACCATTTGGAGATTCAGGGATTTCCATGCTAAATTAGGTAGATATTCAGATTTGGTTTTAAAAGCTTATAACAAGGTTAGCAAATTGATCTTAGGTGCTGAACCATTTGATATTGCAATTGTTACTGTTGCTTATCTAGCAATGTGGTATACATTTATTTCATTATTTATTGATATGAGAAAAGCAGGTTCAAAATTCTGGTTAGGGTTTTCAACTTTAGTTTCATCATTTTTTGCATTTTTATTTGCCTTATATACTGCTACTGAATACTTGGATATACAAATTCCAGCTTTAAGTATCACTGAAGGTATCCCATTCCTTGTTGCAACTATTGGTTTCAAACATAAAATTGCATTAACTCAAAAATTATTGACTAAATATTCTACCTCTGAATATTATAAAAAAGGTGCTCCAAATGCATTATATCTTGCTATTAAAGATCAAGGTTCAGCTCTTTTGCATGATCACTTGTTAGTTATCGTTGCTTTCATTGGTTGTTCAGTTTACGCTTCACATTTAGAAGGTTTACGTAATTTCTGTATTTTATCAGCTTTGATCTTATTTTTTGATTTATTAACTTCTGTTACATTTTATTCAGGTATTTTATCATTGAAATTAGAAATCAATTTGATCCATAGATCAACTGTCCTAAAACAAGCTTTACAAGAAGATGGTTTGACTCAACAAACTGTTGATGAAGTTTTGAGATCTGACGGTGATTCTTCAAAAGTTTACTCTGAATCAACAGCTAGTAGCTCAGTTACAATTGGTAAGATCTTAGCTATCATCTTATTTTTCGGCTTCCACATTTATGGATTAGGTTCTACTTGGTTATCAGATTTAGATGCTAGTGCTGAATATACTGAATCATTTGCATTCAGTGATTCATTCTTTTCACAAATTCCAATTGGCTCAAAGGGTACTCTGGTTTCAGTTTATCCTGCAAGATTCTTTTTACCATCAAAGTTCTCTATTCAAATTGAAGATCAAATTTTATCAACAATTGGTTTTATTAGTGCTGCTATTCGTGATAAATATATTTCAAAATTTGTTTTATTTGCATTCGCCATCAGTGTTTCCATCAATGTTTATTTATTAAATGCTGCTCGTATTCATTCATCAAGTGTTGAATCTGATCTTGCTAAATCTAAGAAATCATCTAAGAAAGCTACTAAAAAAGTTGAACCAAAAACTCCGGTTGTTTCTACAGAACCTGAACAAGATGTTACAAAATCATCTGAAATCATCTCATCTTCTGATAATGAAAGCGTTGAATCACGTCCGTTGGATACTTTAATCGAATTGTTTAAAGATGGTAAAGTCAAATCATTATATAATGATGAAATTGTTTCATTAGTTACAAATGGTAACTTGCCATTATATGCTTTAGAAAAGCAATTAGGTGATACAACCCGTGCTGTTGCTGTTCGTCGTAAAGCTATTGCCAAATTAGCTAATGCTCCTGTTTTGGAAACTGATAAATTACCATACTTACATTACGATTATGATCGTGTCTTTGGTGCTTGTTGTGAAAATGTTATTGGTTATATGCCATTACCAGTTGGTATTGTTGGTCCATTAATCATCAACGGTACTCCATATCATATTCCAATGGCTACTACTGAAGGTTGTTTAGTCGCTTCTGCTATGCGTGGTTGTAAAGCTATCAACGTTGGTGGTGGTGTTGAAACTGTTTTAACTAAAGATGGTATGACTCGTGGTCCATGTGTTCAATTCCCAACTTTGAAAAGAGCTGGTGCTTGTAAAATTTGGTTAGATTCTGATGAAGGTCAAGATCTTGTTAAAAAGGCATTCAACTCTACTTCAAGATTCGCTCGTTTACAAGGTATTCAAACTGCTTTAGCTGGTACTTTATTATTTATTCGTTTCCGTACCACTACAGGTGATGCTATGGGTATGAATATGATTTCTAAAGGTGTTGAATTTGCTTTGAAACAAATGGTTGAAGAATTTGGTTGGGATGATATGCAAGTCATTTCAGTTTCTGGTAATTACTGTTCTGATAAAAAACCAGCTGCTATCAACTGGATTGAAGGTCGTGGTAAAAGTGTTGTTGCTGAAGCTATCATCCCATCTGAAACTGTTTCTAAGGTCTTGAAGAGTAGTGTTAAAGCTTTAGTTGAATTAAATATCAGTAAGAACTTGGTTGGTTCTGCTATGGCTGGTTCAATTGGTGGGTTTAATGCACATGCTTCAAATCTTTTAACTGCTGTTTTCTTAGCTCTTGGTCAAGATCCAGCACAGAATGTTGAAAGTTCAAACTGTATGACATTAATGAAAGAAACTCCAGAAGGTGATTTACAAATCTCTGTTTCTATGCCTTCAATTGAAGTTGGTACTATTGGTGGTGGTACTATTTTAGATCCACAAGGTTCAATGTTAGAATTATTAGGTGTTAGAGGTCCAGCTGCTGTTCCAGGTGCTAATGCTCAACAATTAGCACAAATCATTGCTTCTATCGTTTTGGCTGGTGAATTATCATTATGTAGTGCTTTAGCTGCTGGTCATTTGGTTCAAAGTCATATGCAACATAACAGAGCAGGTGCTGGAAAGAAATAAGTTTAAAAGAGAAGAAGAAAAAAAAAATTGTTACTATAAAAAAAAGGAAAAGGCTATTGTTTTATTTAATTTGCATTCATAACAATAATATTCATATTGTATAATAAATCATCGACAGTATAAGGTATTTAATTATAAAGGTTCAAAAACGTAAGCTCTGAAATTTGAATATTGAAATTATAAAGCGGATTTTTATGCCAGTTTGGTTTCTGTATTTTCGCGCTCATGATTTGTAATCACTGAGCTATACTTTCGCGAAAAAAACAGATTGTGCTTGACATTAGTAAAATTTCCAGTATAGATTCACGTATGACAGGTAACGAAAGCCGTATTATACATCTTCCAGAAAGAGTAAAGGTATACATTGTGTGATCCATAGGTCGGTAAGATCATCTTCAATAACAACCATCCCCGAATAACTCAGAATATAACAAATTGTACAATAACTCATCAAGTACTTATTAGTTATACTTATTGAATTCATGTATTATTAGATTGATCAAAACACAACCAAAACGTTTCAAATTTACCAAAGATGGGACCAAAAGAAGCTGTTAAAGAAGAGGTCGACACACCACAACCAAAACCTGTGAATAGAAGAAGGGCTGCTGCTTGTAAATCCTGTCACACTTTGAAAGTTAAGTGTATTCCTTCGGATCCAAATGATTTATCCTCACCTTGTGTAAGGTGTATTAAAACCAAAAGAAAGTGTGAAATAGAATCAAATCAAAATAGGAAAAAGAAGAAGAACTTACAGATCAGTCTTCCAGAGATTGAGTATGTACAAAAATCAAATTTATTTGTTTTTGATGAATTGAATACTAACGCACGATATAGCCGTGTTACAGAATTAGAACAAAAGATTGAAAAATTGAATGCAGAACTTTTACAACACAAATCACAGATGAGTATATCGCCTCATAATGCATCACATAATGGATACCAGAGTGGTGTGAACTCGCCAATACATCTTGATCCAATATCACACCCACAACCGCAAAACTATCAACCATCAAATCTAGGGCAATCACTGAGTGCCGCATCTACAACCCCAGATGAATCAAATAAACCATCCAAAAGAAATGCGTTTGAATTTGTGAATGAGACTGAAAAGCTGAGAAAGAAAAATGGTGAAAATATAAAGAAACCAAGAAAGTTGACAAAAGCTGAACAACTTGAACAGCTTATGGGTCCTAATTCATTGTCTGAAATTAGTACCGTTGCAACAAAAGTTGCTGAAGATAGGGTGAAGATGTTGAAAAGTCCTCATGTTGACCTGATTGATCGTGGTTTACTCACCGTTGAAGAGGCTCAAGAGCGTTTGGATCAATATGTTAATAAACTATATGCTAAATATCCTTTTGTTGATGTTCCAACGAACCTTGAAGAGTTTAGACGTGAATATCCAGTACTATTCAATGCTGTCATGGCCATTACATGCGCTGTAATAGTTAGTGATGATTTGGATAAAAATTTAGAAATTGAAAACATCGCTACACAACAAGTTATTCATGAAATTGTTCTTATAGGTAACAAATCAATTGAGCTGTTAAAAGCTGCAGTGCTGTTGACTGTATGGTATATTATGCCAGAATTGTTTCATCATCGTCGCTATCATATATTAAGTATACTTTGCATCACACTTACTCAAGATCTTGGTTTGACTGGGCGTCCATATTATGTTGTTAACAAATCTGAAGGTTCTGTTCAACGATCTACTGTTCTAGAAGATCCACAAAAAGATGAATATAAATGTATGGTTTTGGTTGTTTATTCAACATCTGTGGGGTATTCACTATTTTTGAGAAGGAGAATCATGGCCACTTGGAGTCCCTACTTGGAAGAATGTTATCAGCAATTGAGAGTTTCGCCAATTATAAAAAATAGAACAGTTGCAGTATTTGCTAAACTATCAAGTCTGCTTGAAAAGATACATAGTTTTGTTCAAGCGAAGGATCAAGAAAACTTGCCATTTATAGAGCATTTTCAAAGATCTATAGATTTTTTGAAATTTGAAACTACAACCATGGATTCTGATGTGTTGCTGGGTTATGCATATTCGGTGGAGGCATTTTTATATTCAAAATTCACAGCTATTGACTTATCATATAAATGTTTACATTCAGCTTCAAAATGCCTTGAACATTTCGGTGCACTAACCCCTGATCAAACTAGTTATATACCACATGTCATTTATGGGAGATTGATGTATGCTTTTGCTTTACAATTGAAGACTAGCAGTTATTTGAAGTATGATTTTGATTTGAATGCCATTAAAAAGAACATCAACATTTTGAATGAATGTAATAAAATATATAAAGTCAATCATTTATTGCTCAAAGCAAAACTACTATTTTATTTTTATCTTACCACATATGCAAAGAATGAAAATGCATTTAATGAATTGGCAACTGAATCACCTGCTGATACTGCATTTAGATCTGTTTCTGAACATCTTACACCATCAAGTACACATGCAGACTCACCTCATCAATCATCATCAAAGACTAATGAGAATATTGATTCCACACCTCAATACTATGGTCCTCCAGGAAGTCAACAACAAACTCCATCCCATCCACATCAATCTTTACCACAATCGAATCCAGGTATTCCACCTCAAGGACAATTTCAGCCACCATTACCTGTTCAACAATATTCTCATCAACAACATTTGAATCCAATGGGTATGCCAAACCATTTCAATGGTCAAAATCCTTCTCCATATTCCCAACAACCAATGCCACCTGGAAATTTTGCTCCACCTCCACCTCCACTGCATCATGTTAATAGCTTCACGGGGTTCCCGTCTAATAGTGCTTCAAGTCGTGAACTATTAGAGTCTCAAATGGAGCCATCATATCCTCAAATTGATATGTTGTCTGAGGCTACAATAAAAGGGTTTGGTGATGTACCAACTGAATTGATGGGACAAGATGAGTTTTGGAGATTATTTGATCATAAAGATGAGCAATTCTTATTGTGAGAATATGTGGTTTCAATATGGTCCTTCTTGTAAGGTTTTCATGTTTCAAAATTATTAATAAATTAAATTCGTATATGTTGTTTTCTCATCAATGTAGATTGTGCCGTCGCCCATATATGCATTTACTCCTTAAAATAGCTCTAAAGCGACCCGATAATTCACTCAAGCTTACGAAATTTGACAGGTCGGTGGAAAGTACCGTCTATTTTGACATATTGAACTTTAAAAGTCTGTGTGGGTAACGCTATTTAGACGACGTTAATATTTGTGAGCCGAGCCGGCGAACTGTTTACTTTCTTACGCGATTCGAACCATGATGAGTTATAAAGATCACGAAAAAAAACCACAGTTTTATGACAACAGCTTTTAAAAAGCCTAAAAACAAAGTTCATTGGCCGATTGATCTTGCGTGCTGTGTTTAGTTTAAGGTTTGATTCAGCATTTGAAAATGTTATAAATATTTGACCACGTCCCTTCTCATATCGACTAACTTCAAAATGTTTGAGCACTAATCCATATAGTCATTATTTCCCAAATGACCGTTGATAAACTAAATATCGAGTCCATTGCTGTTATTGGAGGTGGCCCTGGCGGTATTGCAGCTACTTATGAATTCCTCCATACTAAGGCTGACGGAACATCCACTGTAGGTGGTGCTGTCCCAGAATTCAAAGAAAGAGCATTCAAGAAGATTGTTGGTTTTGAACAAAAAGATAAACTTGGTGGTACTTGGGCCACGTCAATTGATAAACCAGATGTTCCTGACGATAAGATTTGGGAAGATGAGTACTATAAACCTGAAGTTATTCATCCAAAAATTGAAACACCATCTGATTTAAGTGAAGGTAACACATATGATAAACCACTAGTTGTTGAAGGTGCTAATAATAATAATCAATGGAGACGTTCACCAGTTTATCCAGGCTTATATACAAATGTTCCAAGAAGATTTTTAAGGTTCTCATCAATCAAATATGAACCACCTGCTAAGGACTCTTCTAAGCAAATTGATCCATTAATTACCTATCAAGAAGTTGGTCAAGTTTTAGATAAATTTACCGATGATAACAAATTATTAGATTATTTTAGATTGAATTCACAAGTTCAAGACGTCAAGAAAACCTCAGATGGAAAATGGGTCTTGACCATAAGAGAAACAAAAGATGGTAAAGATCATTGGTATATTGAACAATTTGATGCTGTCGCTGTTGCTAGTGGTCATTATTCAGTCCCATATATTCCAAAAATTGAAGGTTTAAGTACTAGAGAGCCAGGTTCTTTCATTCACGCAAAATCTTTTAGAACTGTTGATCAGTTTAAAGATCAAAATGTTATAATTGCTGGGTCTTCTTTAAGTGGTGTTGATATTGCTCAATATTTACATAAAGTTGTTAAAAGTCTAACCTTTTCACGTACACCAAATAAACCAGAAATTTTTCCATGGATCAAAGAAGCTGTTGAATCGTATCCAAATCGTGCAAGAATTAATAAAATTGATGGAAAGACCGTTTATTTCGACGATGGAACTTCTCAGGATAATGTTGATAAAATCATCTTTGCAACAGGTTACCACTGGGATTATCCATATTTGAGTGATCAGTTCTTAAAGCTTTCAAATCCAAATGGTGGTAAAGACCCAATTGGTAGTTCAAGAATCAAAGGTTTATTCTGGGATACAATCAACATTAATGATCCAACTTTAGGTTTTGTCGGTGTTACTTTGAGTTCTTTACAATTTCATACTATAGAAACATCTGCTGCTGTTTTAGCTGGTATTTGGTCAAATGCTAAAACATTGCCTCCAAAAGAAGAACAAAGACAATGGGAACAAAAGAGACTTGAAGAAACAGTCGACTCATATATTTTCCATTACTACCCACCACCACAAGTCAAAGAAGATTATGTTGATAAACTTTGGACCTATGTCCCAAAAAACCGTCCTTATTTGTTAGAAAATGAAGATTTTGGTGACTTTGACAAGGCTATTGCAGCTGCTGAAAGTGTTTTCTATGAGGTTAGAGAAGGGAAATACACTTAGTGACCTTAACGGTGAACGTAGGCTCATCAATACAACACTAAACACTACTCTAAAATTAAGTGTATAGAACTTTCTAGAACCAATCAACTAATACTACAGAAATCATATTGTTGACTTAGATTTATATGTACAGAACCTTCGATATTCTTAGATAATAAATTCCTTTCGCATACAGCCGCAATTTTACAAGTGTATGCGATTTTCTACACATTCAACGACTTTTACTTACAGATAAGTTCTAACTTCTTACAACAAAGCCTACGTCGTACAATATTTCACTGCCAACTTCAATTTCACCATATACTTATAGCACTACAGTCTACTACTCGCTCTGTCATGAGGTCATCCTGAAAGATGTTCCTTCAAATGTTACCTTATAATTAATAACGTGAATAATATGTTGTAACTAGTACTTGTAACTTGTAACTACATGGGCTCGGACATTACAGATCTTCCGCTTCCGAGTGGTTTGACTTCGATTTAACAATTGAATGAGCAATTTGATATAAAACAGAAGTATGTTTGGTGAGTTTTTTGGACCTTGACTCTTTAGTACCTCATCATGAACATTTTGAAGTGTACGTATGTTACTAAAAAAATTTAAACAACCTGGATTCTGGTTAGGCCATCAACTCAAACAATCAGACGCAAATCATGCATAATTAATGTCTGTGCAATTAGTGATCATGCACATGTATATTTGGTAAAATTAGCTGTTTCTAAAAGTGGTACCTGAATATTAATTATAAGCTGAAGATCTTTTGCACGCAAATCAGTTAACTTCTTTAGGAAAAATTCAAACGTCGATTGAAACTTGCAAGCTACGTTGCAAGTTACAATGCTGCACAACTTCCAAGATCTTCACTAGGGAATCTTTTTCACAAATTTCTGATCTTAAGACTTATACGCAAGATTCCATTAAAAATAAATAAGCTTTGGGCTAGCTAGAAGCAGCTATACTGTAGTTATAGAGCTACTATATAGCGCAGTAGCTGGAGCTAGCTAACTTTCATAGCGCTATAAAATATATCTAAGTACCCTAGTATCATCCTAAATTGTCCATCATACATGTCAGATGAGCATCCTTGCATTAGCTCAATTGCCGCTTAGGATCGAAAGAATTTTAATCATATATGAATAATGAAGCTGCAAAAATTAATTAGTAAGTGCTACGTATATAATGAAGACCTCTAAAAGGTATGCTAAATAGAATTTAAAATCAATGTGAATTATATCAATATGTCGAATTTGTTCACGTCCAATATTGTGCTAATTGTTTTTGCTTAATTAGTTGAAATTTGTAGCCTATATATATATCTCGTGATCAAGATCGAGAAACGTCGAGCTCTATATTAGCTTATACTGATCAGTGGCGTTTCGTTATATAATGCTCTAATCAAGCTTCTGGTTTTTGTTAATTTGCTGACGTCGCAAATTGAGAATCGATCACGTCTTAAAGATCTAGGGACCAGTGGCATCAGGTAGCTGTTGTGTTTAATTACAAACTCGCCTTTACTAATCGACGCTAGGTTCAGGTATTTCATCATTCCTGAAATAGAATTTGCTTCTCGAATCTCATGAATTCTTCAACAATTGGCTGATGCATAAGTTGCTTCAAGTAACTTGAAGTAAAAATCACTAGCTGTCTTTGAGAAATTACAGAAATTAGGTAGACTGATGAATTATTTGTGCGCATTCTGTGAAATTGTTAACTTTGCAGAAAGACAGGTACGTAGTTAGGGTACACCTATACCCTATACCGTATGATTTGTTGTCAAAAAGTTTACAGACGTTGGAACTTGCACCAGACTTCAAATATTCACTGAAGATCTTGAATATAAATAACTGACACATGGAGTAAGTACTTTCTTTTTGGAACAAATCTAGGCTTCAGATAAAGATTTTTCAGTTAATATCGAGCCTTCTATCGACACAGTGGTTCACATGATGAACTGGCTTGATCTAGTGAATTAATTATATAGTAGTATATGGGCTCAATAGTCGATGAACGATCCAGCTCATGTAAAGCTATCACGCTAGCTTCTAGCTGTGGTTATGTCCTAGCCTCCTAGCTACCAGATGGCTAATTGTATTAAAATTGAAGGCCAGCCTACTCATGCTCAAAGAGATGTATAAAATTCATGATTAAATTTTAGGGATTGAAGATCCTACATCAAATATATATATATATATATCGACTAGTTAGTGCGCTAGCTCATCCAAGTTAATATATAAATATCATTGTTTAAGCCATTTTCATAAGTCGTATTGGCTTATAAGGGTAAATATTATCGATCGAAAATATTATTTGGAAGAGTGGTTGTGACTGGTGTGCCATGAAAGATCACGTATCCAGTTCCTAGAAACCCAGCTAGAATCAATTATAGCGCTACACAGCTCGATGAACCCAGCAGTTTTATTTGAGATACATGGCATTAATTAATGTTCACCCTCATTAAAGTATTAAGGTCTCGTGGTTTTAAACTAAAGTAAAAGAAGCATGAGAATCAGTTAATTTTTATGCCATTTTTTATCTGCCTGAGTGTGACTTTGATTGGTTAAAGGACTTCGTAAGTTGATGGCACCATGGCACCTTGCTGAGCCGAGTGATTTGAGGTTTTTGGTGCGCGCTTTATAAGTGTCCACAAATTACAATTCATTACTGTACAAGAAGTATGAGAAGGGTACTTATATATCACTATTGGTGGTGATTGAACTACTCAATGTCAAGAACGAAGTCTTGTTGTCGTGCTTTGCGAATTGTTAAGTATTTTCGCTTTCTCTTGAAATTAGTTTAAGCTTTACAGCACTCCACTCAAACACCTAATTTAAATTGATGGCATGAATGACGAATCAGATTACAATTTAATTTTTTGAAGACAAAGCTCTTCTGTTTAAGGTTTGGCGATCTGCAATATTTATTTTTTCAAACATTCGACAGATCAGAAATTAGAATCGACAAGAATCAAGATTCAAGAATCAAGATGCCAATTTTCTACCGGGCGACGTTTTCTTTATACGTTGCAGCTAGTGCGCAGTGCGCGCCTTTCCTTTTAAAATCCTCCCCTGGGCTGTAGCCTCTACTAGCCAGAAAGTTTTAAGCGAAAAATTAGGCAGCTAATCCTAAACGTTAGAAGGAACTTGGAAGTCACCGCAGCTAGTTAGAGCCAGGCCTTTAATTTTGTATAAGGAAGTCTGTAGTACTCTTGACTCTTCAACTGCAAACTTGTTCTGTCTGGACTGTCTGGACACTGCTAGTATTGTTTTGAATTTCCTTTCAAAATTCAAAAGTAAGCAGTTTACTAAAATTCATGAACTAGAGTAAGAACAACAGGCAACAAAAGCCAAAACGCACATTCGAGGGTTGAGCCAGTTCAATATTGAAGCTGTGAATTTAGATCAGGCATTAAAGAAGCCTGTGAAGCGTGTTAAAATGAATGAAATATGATCCTTAGATATAGGGTATACGTAGACACGTACCTTAATTGAGGTAATCATGAAAAACGTATAGGTATTACGACTTTAAAATCTACTATGGACAACTAAAACAGAGTAATGAATCATGATCGGTGTAGAAAGAAATAGTGTAGAATTGATAGTATATACGTATAACTCTTTGAAATCTCTGTGTATCTGATATCGGATTACCTAGCTAAATCTTCACAGATATGTACACACATTAGCTGTTGTATGATGTTTCACTATGTTATCACATGTACTTATCTAAGCGTAAAAGCCTGAAGTTGAAGCTGTATGTGATATAGTGATGCGTCGAATCTTGCTGCAATTTGAATTTTGCGTCGACAGACTGGTCTGCACTGTGCAGGCTGTTGGATTCGTGATTCGTGAACACTGAACTCATGAGGAGGAAAGCTGCTACCTACCGCCTAGTACTACCTACAGGCCACTATAATGGAGGTATGAACTTAAGATGTTTTGATGATATAGTTCTACCTATTTTACATATCACAGGTTAAAGCAGATTACACAAACCAATTGTAATTATATAAGTAGGCGTATATAGGATTAGGAATCACGTTAGTTACGTCGATCACAATATGAACGTTACCAATTATGAGATAGTTAAATCACCTATGTATCCTCTATAGGCTATATATGCTGGCAAATCTAGGTACTACTACGCCAATCTCAAAACGCTCAAAAATAGTCGAATTGACTTAATAATATACTTAATATTATAGTGTGATGCTCAGTTCTTAATCTTAATCTTAATTAAATTGTCTAGGTACTATATGTACCACATATATATTATTATTATAAGTACTGACTCCATGGAGTCGTGATAAGCTATAGATCGCTGTATCCCTTGCCCTTTGGCATATATTACGCGGTTATTATAGGAACTTGGAAGATACAAGTGGAACAATTGATTAACAAGCACCCTCATATGAATGCCTTAAAGACGTTGATCATAGCAAGATCATGATTTCTAGGCAGCTGGTTGATCAATCCATCAATCTATATGTTGTAGTACAGTTGTTCTTTATGTGATTCTGGATTCAAATTAATGATTCAAAATTATCCTGATTCAATATGGGCCATGGCCCATCACATATACTACAGTTATACGGTCTTATACGTCCTATGTACTAAAGACACAAGTACCTTTAAATCTAACCGCACTTACCCACTTGCCCAAATCCCAGGGAAGTAATACAATTGATCATGTACGATTAAATTAAAGATGATATCAAAGAGAATATGTAATTTCAATTACGTTAGTATCTATATGTAATTTTATACGTTCAATTAATGTTCATTTCTATTAAAATGATTCGATTCATATGCAAGTTAAATTTTCATTTTGTGACAAAAAGAAAAAGAATCTCGATTCTTACATAGGCCTTAGTGATATCATTTCCAGTACATACGTATCTTGCATAACACTAAAAACGAAAATGAATTTTACCAAATTGACAAAGCTTTTATGCGTAATTCGGAATTCCCAGTTTAATTAAAAGGCCATTTAGTGGACGCTGAATCTGTACTTCTGTAATCCACATACCGAGATAGTTACATATACATACTTGAGTAAAGCTAGACCCATACTTCAAGTCTAAATCATACGAAATATATACGCTCTTTTAACATCATGTATACACAGACATTCGTATATAAGATCATTGGAGTACTAATTATGATTAATCATTCCGTTTTAGTACAACGTCCTAAACTAAAGCAGTCTATAAAGTAAAGTATGTACGCTCTTGAGCTTAATTAATAGTAACTACGCTTTACAATTTAGCGGATCTTACTTGCCACGCAACATAATTGATGTAGTACTTAATTAATGTGATATTTTTAGATTTCAGACACTAGCTGTTAGATGTCTAATACTGTATAAATTAAATCAAATAAAGTTTAAAGTTTATTTTCTATATAGGTACCTGGGGCGATTACCTAAGGACTGGGTTTACTTATTTTCAAATGTCGATGATGATCTCAAATGTTGTACCGTATTGTACACTGATCAGCTTATATAATTCAGCTTTAAACATCTATTATTTCAGCTCAGAATCTAGATATATCGAGCTGGTTAGATTAACCATGAATCAATTTTAGAGCAGGTAATATTTATAAATATGGGTTATATACCAGTTAATTGAGTACTAAAAAGAGCAGATCAGTACTTAAGGTACTATTTAAGCTAGCTGGTCAAAGTGAGTATATGATCTCAAATTATGAAAGCTCCATTAGCAGTCAGGACTCAGTAATATATAGATGATTTATAGTACCGGTTTATAAGACGACGTAGTAACTACAGTATTATAGCGTTAAAGTCGAAGTCTAAATACCAAGAGAGAATATTAATTAAAATTTAGTTCAACAAGCTATGATGTTTAACTTTCACTAGTGTAATCCAGATCTGAGTTATAAAATAAAATCAAAAGGTAAAATCAGGAAAAGTTGAGCACCAACATTAAGTCTGGCCTAACAATTAGCCATGCATGTCATACATATCATACATATCATACATATATGCGAGACGCTAGTTAATGCGTTACCCCTGGACTATCAATTAATTTTTCCAGCTTTCACCAAATTGTTATGGAGCACTACCTTTGTATGCATCTTGATGCGATTTAGTTGCAGAGTTTAAATGTGTTGCTATAACGTAAAAAAGGTTTTTTACTTCAATATCACACTAGAATTATACTTTAAATTTCAAAATTTCAACATACAACATAGAACATCTAAATAATCTGTATATGTTAAGTAGTTGATTAGCTGGTTTCCTAATAAAATTCTGGATAAACTACATGCAAAGTGACGCTTCGTTTATAAAATTGTACTGTTGTGTGATTGTTTCATTTGTGCATTTCTAGTTCAAACACCAAGTACTTTACATAATTAGTCGATGTATGTATTGCATATAGAAAAATCCAACAAGATTTGTGCGTTGTTGCCTGTATTGAATAAGGCTTTGAAAACGACATCTGTAAAATTTGACATATTAAAACGATGAAATCCTGTTTACCTCAACAGAAGGGAAGCATTGTTTTGTAATATTTGTCAAATCAATTTGTTCAATTGTTCAAGTGTTCACCATTTCACCATTTCATCAACGAGGCAAAGTTGTTCAAAACTCTCCCGCACTCTGACATATAAAAAAAAAAAGTGAATCAACCGGTGTTGATCTTATTCTTATCTCATAGAAAGTATATTTTATTGTTTGCTATTCAAAAGCATAATTACCCAACCACGAATTTCCAGAGTTATAGCCATTCTATATAATTACTGGGTTTCTGATTTTTACAATATTCTGGATATATATAAAGAAAGAAAGTTTGGAATATTAAATTGTCCCACAAAGTGTGCGTTGTTGCTTTAGTGCTCTTTATTTTTTCTTGCTTTAGTTTTGATATTGCTTTTATTGGCTTTACTATTCTTAGATCTCATCTGAAGAACCCAAAAGAGAAAAGCAAGATTGGTACAAAATCATCATTCTACCATTTTATTTTTACAATAGTTGATACATTAGATCATTTTAACAAACTTAACACATTCAGCTTGCTGTTGCATTTGGATAAGAAAAAGTTATCAACGTATTTAAAACCATTATAATCGGGTCAAAAAGTTTTTTATCAATTATATTCACAAGACATATATATATCAAGTTGAAAGAAAATATTTTAGCTATACATAATGACTGCTGCATCAGAATCAAAAGTTAAATTACCATCTATCAAAGAATTGACAATTGGGTTACCTACAAATGTTGAGGCTCAAAGACCTCGTCAAAGCTCAATTGAATCAATAGCTAGTACAAGTCCGCATCAGGTATATTATCAGCTCAATCAACCACAACAACAGCAACCACAACAACCTGTTATAATAGCATCACATCCAGCTGTTTTACCTGCTACTACAAATGGTTCAATATCTTCAAATTCATCTATATTCGATAATGATCCTATAAGTTCAAGAAAATCTTCAACTGCAAGTTCAGTTTCACCACCTTTCCAATCATCAACATATTCATTACCATCAACTACACAACCAAGTTCTCAACAACCTTTAAAACAACAATTACCTCCACAACAACATACTCCACCTCAAGGAACAAATTATGTTATAACAACATCACCTTATAATAAAATTCCAAATCAATATCCATATGGAGGTCAATATCAAAATACACATATGAATCCTCACCAAGCTTCACATTATTCATTATATCAACATGGTCAACCTCATCAACAAGTACAACATTACCAACCTCAATTATATGATCATAATCCTCATGTTCAACATCCACAATATCAAACTTATTCAACTCATCATCATGATCAAACTTTAAATTCTCAACCAAAGAAGAAAAGACCAAGAAGAAAAGCAAATGAAATGGAAAGATTATATGCATGTAATTATAATAATTGTAAAAATTCTTATGGTACTCTAAATCATTTAAATGCTCATATAACATTTAAAAGACATGGACCAAAGAGAAAACCTGAAGAATTTAAACAAATTAGAGAATTATACAAGATTAAAAAGAATAAATTAGAACAAGCTGCAAAAGAAGCTGAACAAATTAAACAAACTATAAATTCAAATGATAGTTCACAAGTTAAAGATTCTAAAATCAAATTATTAGCAAATTTAAGTGAAAATTTCTTTGATACAAAAGCTGAAATTGCAGAATTACCAATTTTCCATCAACAAAGAGGTTATAATGGATATGGTAGACATAGTTATACTTTAAAACAAGGTGCTCAAGAAGCTGCTCAAAATTAAAAGGTTTTATTATGAAGTTTATGTTTAAAAAATCTTGAACTCTAAGTTATTGGATGTTGATAATTAATGAAGTTATGTTATTAAAAAAGGATTAATTATGATTTGTGTTTTGTGTTTTTAATGTTAATTTTAATAAAGTGTATTGGATGGTATAATTGGGGTTTTTTTATATATATATCATGAACAACATCAAGATTAGCCAAATACATGCTGGTTTCATTTTGGTTTAATTACAACTTTCATGATATTATATATATAATATTCATGGTATGTTATAGAAGAGGAAATTAGTACTATAAAAAAGGGTGGTTCAGGTGGTTTACATATCAAGCTGTTTTATCTTATACATTTTTCATATGTTTTTTCTATTATTGTTTTATTATACTTATAGTTTGGTTTAATTTTGTTTTGAGTTTTCTAAAAGGATCATATAGTTTGATACTATAGTTCCCTTTTGATCAATTGTAATCTTTTTAAAATGATTTTTGATTTTAGCATTCCATTATATGAATATGATGATATCACATATATGTTTTACATTGTTTTTGAAATTTACTTGAATTACTAGAAAGTTTTTTTATTAAAAATTTTAATTAAAATGAGTTCATCTAGCATATAGTTTAATACGTAATTACTGATTGTCATATTTAAACTTTAGCGTAGCATAAATTAAACATGAATTAAACCGCTTTGCTTGAACTAGTATGATGTCCATGAAACACCGAACACACGAATATCATATACCATATACTTCATGAATTTCAATATTCAGTTCACATTGTCTCACTTTTTTTCATAATATGATTTAGTACTTCATGACGCTAACTTTATACTGTAAACGGTTAGATCTTGTGATGTTTAAATTTGTAACGTTAAAATCGAGCGTACTTTGATGCTGTCTATTGTCCAATTAATGTTGCTCTCTTGAAAATCACAATCAACTCGTAATTTCCATAAACCTCCGACACTTTTTAAAAGCTTGCCCCTGGGGCCTGTCCCACTTTTGTCCCTGTTCCCCTTAAGGCTGTTATTAACCGTGAAATGTATACTTGGTTACTCATGAATAGATTTACGTTATATAATTAATAAATACTTGATGATTGCTATCATCAGATATACAAGTTCAAAAAATATTAACTCAAACTATATGCGGATTCGATTTGAAATTAGATTTACAAGATGTGTTGAACCAC